GTGGGACACGGTGCCACACTTCCACCCTGACCGCCACGGTGGCATTCTTCCCCCCTGACCGCCACGGTGGCATTCTTCCCCCCTGACCGCCACGGTGGCATTCTTCCCCCCTGACCGCCACGGTTGGGGTGGCATTCTTCCCCCCTGACCATGTGACCTTTTTTTGTGTCCTCATGCCTCTTACTCCCTGTTGACGTACACGTGGAGAACTAGTTCCTTCTCATATCATTGATAAGCAGATGATAATCTGAGGAAAACAAGAAAAGCTCCGCCTCCCGCAATGTTTACGTAGTGGCGTGTCACATGACACACACACAGTATAAATGAACACGTGTCATACGATGCCGATAGCAAATTTACATAGCTACTGTGAGCAGACCTTTGACCTTCATGGCTAGAATGTCCACCGTTCATCTTCAAAGCATTGCTAAGTGTGCATTACATGTTATTACTCGGGTTCAGCTCTGAGAATTGGGTTTTTTGTTTTGTTTTCGCCTTGACACGACTTCAGCTTTCGTGCTATTACCACTTCGAGTAAATAAATATATAATATAGGACTATCAAACCAGGAACTTTACTGGAGGGAGCGGCAGTGATTGCATTGCGGCTGCATGCGATGTTGCTGAAGGATAAGCTGCAGTAGCAGGCACAGCAGGTATATTTACATTGAGTTTGAGTTTAAAGGCAAATTGAAGCTTGTATATAATCTAGTGATTACCGTAATCTTTGATTTACGTTTTTAAATCGCATGGGCACAACACTAAATAATGTAGGCTGAAAAAGACTGACCATTAAAGCGGATGTAAATATAACTGGATGGCATGAAGGGCCAGCTCCCTAATGCAGGTGGACTTTTAGTTGCTGAGCATGCTAACCACGGAAACGGATCCCATGCTAGCACGGTCAGCATGCGTCCCTTCTTCTCCCTTTAGGACCCACAGCACTTGTAGACAGTCTACAGGCTGACTCACCCCCCTGCCCAACCCTACCGAACCTGACGGACAGCAGGGACCCCCGGCAATCGTCAGTAAGGAAGACTCCACCTACACCTCTCGGAACTTGGGGAGAAAGAGGTGGATTATAGTGGTCATGTGACTGTCACTGAAAGGAAACCAAAGTTATTTTAATTTTTGGTGATTTAATTATTATGCAATATTTAAAGAAGTTCTGTTGAATGTGAGTTCATGAACTGAGATGTTTCCTTACATTTTAAAGGGTAAGTTCACTTTTTTTCCAAGTTATTATCCGTTCGCGAACTCTGCATCGGGTGACGAACAAACTGGCAGCCATCTTCCCGCTCTGACACATGGTCTAGTCGAGATCGCGGTCTGATCACCGTTTGATTTTGGTTCGCGACCAGTTCGGTTCGCGACCAGAATCGGGGAACAGATTAAGTTTGTGAACCGAGATACCACTGTTACCTTTCGGCAAACGGTCCTTCCATTTGCACTATGGATTTTGATGTTCGCTCGCAAATTGTGAGCCCTCATTGGTCATTCTCGGCAAGGTCAGCGTGGTCAGGTGCTGACCAAAATCCATAGCGTAGGGCTGCACTGGATGGCAGTACCGGGTACAGATACCAGCGGAGGGGAAGGACCATTTGCGGAAAGCTAAGTATAGCGGGGGACGGTAAGGTAGTGAGAGAGAGATTTGGGTGGGTAATTGCATTTTCCCAAAGTGAATGCAGAACTGGACATCCCAGGGGCCAGGTAGCCAATGCTCCTTTAAAAATAACAGCTGGTGTCTAACTTTTGAGGTTTCCTCTAATTGTTGCCAATGGAGCTGGCTCCTGAATTGGACAGACTGGCTTCTGAATTTCATCATATTTGTTCACCCCTGCTTTAACTGCTACTACACCAATTGGCAATGATTTAACACCGATTTGTAGCGAATGGCTTAATCGCTAGAGTCACTGGTGATTGGTCTTTTGGAAGTGATGTGTTGCTGCTATAAGATAAATGAGTGATGGAGCATTGGGTTGGTGTGCTTCTAAATATTGGTAATATGTAGATAAGCCATAGAGGTGTGAAGAACGACTGGCATGAAATATTAGACTCGGCTGAGCTACAAATTGTTGTAAAAATGCTCTTTTGGGTAGATGGGTCCACATACCCAAAGATAAATTCCAGAATCTTGTAGACATCCTTTCCAGAAGAGTAGAGGCTCTCATAACTGCATGGGGCAGGCCAACTTTTGTTAACGTTCATGGTTTTGGAATAGATGTCCTGCAAGCTCATGCAAGAGTGACGGTCAGGTGTCCACAAACTTTTTAGTGCAAATCAAACCCAACTGATGCCGAGGGTCATACAGAAGGGAGTCAGGTCTACTTAACCCACTTTTTGACCCACCATCAGCTTCATAATCACATAGGCTTCCCAGAAAAGCGGAAGCCATTACGCTGCAAAGGGGCAGCCATCTCCATTTTAATGCCCATGATTTTGGAATAGGATGCCCAAAAAGTTCAAATAGGTCAGATGGTCCACAAGAGTTTGGCCATAGTGTTCAACTGAAATATTAGGGTGAATGAGCCCAAATTCCCACAGACCGCCTTGCAGGAGGATTGGAGGCTGTTATAACCACAAAGAGGGGCCAACTTCACTTCAGTGGCCATGGTTTTGGAAAGGGATATCCAACAACTTGTGTAAGTTTGATGGTCAGGTGTCCTCAGATGTTTGCCTATTTCATGTATCACCTCTTGCTCTTGTTTCAGTAAATTGGCTCCACCGATGCCTGCGGTTGTGCTGTGTACGGGTTATATTGGGTCATGACATAGAGGGGTGTATTCACTGTCTGTTGTGTGTCTCCGCAGGGGAGTTGTGTAACCTCATCACACTGGATGTCGCTCACAATCAGCTGGAACATCTTCCGAAAGAGATCGGGAACTGCACCCAGATCACCAACTTGGACCTGCAACACAACGAGCTCTTGGACCTGCCAGACACAATAGGTAATCTACATGCATGTGTACCGCGTGTGTGTGTGAGCATGGGGGGGAGCTTTCATGAGTGCGATGGAATGAAAACATTGGGGCTGATTTTGTAGTAGGGAAATTAACTTTGCTTGATTCGGATTCACAGTTGTGCGTGCCATGTCACTTTGTATTTGTGTAAGGAACAATTAATGACTACATACAGTTTTTCCCCCAAAATGTATTGGTTGGTTAAACAGCTGTGTAGTATGTCATAGGCTGGCAGATGCTTCTGCAGGAACTACGCATAAGGTGACAACTGCCCATTGACTGTAACGCTAGTTCCCGTTTCTTCCCTCCGTGACTGATGGCCTAAACATATGCACCTGTATGCGGGTACAGCTGGCTCTGCCTCTAGATAGGCAGAGCCAGCTGTCAATCACGCAGCTGGGTGGATCTCGACAGTCTGTCCCGGCTTTGGTGATCTCTGTATACTGCGAGCTGTAGTTGCCTATATACTGAGCTTAGGGTCACGAGAGGACGCTAGTTTCTGTCCTCCCGTGACCCTCAGGCCCCATTCACATTGAGCGATTCGCAAATCAGCGAATGCTTGCATTGAGCAAGCTAGAATCGCGGCAAAATCCGCTCCAAAAGGGTCCTGCTGTAGCGACGCACGACCTGCGACAGCGACGGACAGAGCCCCATTGAGATGCATTGGAGAGCGATATCGCGCAGAAAATAGCCGCGATATATCGCTCAGTGTGAATGGGGCCTCAGGAGAACTATGGGGAAAAACACTGACCACATAGTTCTCCTTTTAAAGAAGAATTCTGGGAAAATCACACTTACCCTGCATCGGGGCTACCCCTGCACCTGCAAGGGTTAGGTGCTGGTTTTGTCCAGGGGGCTCCAATAAAGCCATTCCTAATCCTCAGTCCCGAGGCAGTCCGCACTCACCTCTACCCCCTTTTACTCTGGCTGTGGAATGTCCCCCGATGTCCTTGCATCTGATGAAGGCCAATGGACCTGCCCCAAGATGTGATGACGTCAGCGGTCGTTAGACTGCTGGAGCCCAAGGGAGAAGAGGCTGAGGGGACCGGACTAGCAGCCTGCAGGGAGCTGGTATTCAGGTAAATCTGCTTTATTTGAGCCCCCCAGCACTGCCGAGGTAGCCCCACTGCGATGGTGAGTTTGTGATTTTTTTTTCCCCTCAAGTTCTCCTTTTAACTGATGTCCAATTGGCTGCATATACCGTATTTTTCGCTCCATAAGACGCACTTTTTTCCCCCCAAAAGGAGGGGGAAAAAGTGCCTGCGTCTTATGGAGCGAATCCCGACGCCCGAGACATGCAGTTTCGGGCGCCGGGCGAGTAGTAGGAGCCACTGCTCGTTTAATACGAGTGATCTAATGAGATCACTCGTATTAAAACTGAGCAGCGGCGACGATCGAGATTACCATAGAGCAGACGAAGAATAGACGCTCTTCGCCTGTTCTGTGTCATCACTGAGACCGTGGCGCTGTAATCACAGAGCCACCTGTCTCAGCGGTCACTAACTGCAGCTTCTGTCACAGCTTCTGTCATAGAAGCTGTGACAGAAGCTACAGTCTCGAGTGCTCCATAAGGCACGCAGGACCTCCCTGCGTCCTATGGTCCGGTGCGTCTTATGGACCGCAAAATACGGTACTTTCTATCCCTGCACTTCCTCACTGCTTTAAAGCCAAGAGCCCTACAGCCCTTTGTAAGCACAAAGTAGTTGGATATTGTACATTTCATGTCAATCTAAAATAGTTTTCTTGCATCCTAAGGCAACTGCTATTTTAGGAAGCAGCTTACATAAGGCACCCTCTTTGTATTCTCTCAGGAAATCCTGGGGGGTACCAGGGCACAGGACCAAGTCAGGATAGAGTTCCTGTGCAATATTAGGGGGTGATTCCCATATCTAGAAACAGCAGGAGAAAGGAAAGTGGTCAATTGATATACTTGCAAAATTGCTTGACTTTTTTGTTGTTGCCTGGCTTCACTAAAACAGCTAAGGAGCATTAACCACTTGGAGCATTAACCCCTTGCCGTCCGGGGCATTTTCCTACTATTTGCGCACACATGATAAAATATAAATTTTTGGCTAGAAAACAGCTTCAGACCCCCAAACAATGATATATTTTCTAAAAGCTGAGGCCCTGTAGAATAAAAAAAAATGCTAGGTGCAATTTTTTACTTCGCACGTTTTTTTGCGCAAATGTTTATCAAACCCGTATTTTTAGGAAAAAATAAACTAAATTAAAATTTAGTGCGCAGAAACATCATATAATACCCAATTTTTTAGGTAAAATATGAAAGACGGGGTCACGTCGGGTAAATAGATACCAAACGTGTCAAGCCTTAAAATTGCGTTCGCCCGTGAAGCCGCATAAAAAGTAAATACCCCAAATTTCCCATAGGGAACATTTTAAACGCTTTTACCCCTCATCAGTTTTAGTGCTAACAGTTATTGACAGTGCTTGAATTATTGCTCTCGCTCCGACGTTCGCGGCGATATGTAACATGTGTAGCGCAATTGTCGTTTTTGCATGTAGGCGAACCGGCGCGTGTGTATGTGGGGGACGGTGGTCTTTAAAAAAATGTTTTTCATTTTATAATTTTTCTTTTGTTACTTTCATTTTTTACACTTTATTTTATTTTTTTCCCACTAACCTTATTGCTATTAGATAGGGAGTTAACAAGCACCCTATCTAATAGCAGATAGGGTGTGACAGGTCCTCTTTATGGAGACATCAGGGGTCTTGCAGACCCCTAATGTCACCTAGGGACCCCAAATAAGCTAAGCCGATTAATCTCTCTCCGGTCACTTCGGGGAGACCCGCCGAGCCGCTCCCGAGCATTGCACGGGGACAGCGGTGCTTGGGGAAGACACCGGCAGCCGCGGCGGAGGGGGGGCGCACGGTACAAACGATTCGGCGCCTGTACAGACGTGTAAATTAACAGCAATGTGTTCTTCTTTAACGTGTTCTTGTTTTAACCACTTCAAAGGGCCGCCGTCTATAGGCGTATTGCGGCCCAGAAGTGGGTAAAAGTGCACTTATTGTTTAATGAGTTAAAGTTTTATGACCAACATAAACATTTCCCAGCACACTTACCAGCTAGCCTGCAAAAAACAAAAAACTTATACTGGTTAACACGTGGAATACGTGGAAGTCGCACTGCCTCGTCGAGGCCACTCTGTGTAGTGCGGTCCGAACTCTAATCTATGAGAGCTTCCATCTTGGAGCACATATAGCAATGCACAAATTGAGTGCAGGTATACCTGGAGGTAATGAAAATGTTATGGTCACCTAGTGAGTCCTAATACAAGTGAAGTTCACTTTTTCTTTGGCTGATGTAATCACAAATGCAAATTCCCGGAAGATTACCATATCCAGGATTTATAGTTCTGTCTTTAACCCCTTCATGACTGAGGCCCTTTTTTCAATTTTTGCACCCATGTTATATTCCACATTTTAGGCCTGAAAATGACGTAAAACCCCCCAACATTATATATTTCCTGAATGCCAAGACCCTATAGAATAAAATGGTGGTAGTTGAAAATTTTTATGTTGCGCAATATTAGCGCAACTCCTTATTAAACCCCAAAATTTAGTGACAAATTTAATTAAATGCTCCAAAACACAACAAATTACCCATTTTTTTAATGAAATATAAAAGATGAGGTTACAACGAGTAAAACGATACCCAACATGCCCGTCACCCTAAGCTCAGTATACCGCGAGCTACAGCTCCCTATATACTGAGACGCTGAAGACAATTATGTCTGGATCCGCCCAGCTGCGTGAGTGACAGCTGGCTCTGCCAATCCAGTGGCAGAGCTAGCTGTAGCCGCCCCCTCCCCCGTCCGTTCCGCCAGTCAGCGCTGGAGGATCGGAGCGGGGAGGGGGGAATCCAGTCCCTCCCCTGTCACTACTCTCTGCCGTGACAGGATCGAGAAGTGAGTGAAAGCCGGTATGTGTTCGCTCACCTCCTGATCAACTGAGCCGACCTGTGACAGTCTCATTGTCACAGGTCGGCTAGAACTATGAGGATGAGGGAAAATGACTCGCCTCATAGTTCTCCTTTTAAGGCTCCTCTACAGGACTGGAGCATCATGTGACCAGGGCTATAGGGTGAGTAGAAAGGGCATTGAGACAGGAAGTGAAAGGATAGCTTCTCATTGGGGAGGTCAAACGGCAGTGAAGATTCTGACCAGTTTGCAACTCTATTCATATGTAGATTCAAAAATAAAAGTCCACTTTAAATGCAGGCATGGCCACCTGCTAACAGAATCTCTCTCTAGTCCTTAAGCTGACCTTGTATTTAAGGCAGTGAAAGTTTTCCAGGTTGAATGACAGCCAGCATTCATCTCACTTCCTCTGAGTCCAGGCTGTCATGGACCCGCCCCCTGGGGGTGCATCATATGGCAGCGTAAGAATTTTACTGCCCTGAAGACCCCAGTGGCGTAGTGGTTAGCGCTTCTGCCTTGCAGCACTGGGGGGTCCCTGGTTCGAATCCTGGCCAGGTCACTATCTGCAAGGAGTTTGCATGTTCTCCCTATGCTTGCGGGGGTTTCCGCTGGGTACTCCGGTTTCCTCCCGCACTCCAAAGACATGCTGAAGTTAAATTGGCTCTCGTATGTATGCATGTGAGATGGGGACCTTAGATTGTAAGCTCCTTGAGGGCAGAGACTGATGTAAATGCACACTATGTAAAAGCGCTGCGTAAATTGTCGGCGCTCTATAAATACCTAAAATTAATAAATAAACACTCCCACAGCATTACATGAGCAGCATTTTATGCATCAGTGAGGACCAGCCACTTAAAGGAGAACTATGAGGCGGCTGCTTTTCACTCACCTCATAGTTCTAGCCGACCTGTGACAATGAGACTGTCACAGGTCGGCTCTGTAGATCGGGAGGTGAGCGAACACATACCGGCGTTCGCTCACCTCTCGATCCTGTCACAGCTCTCTGCCGTGACAGGGGAGGGGATGGATTCCCCCCTCCGATCCTCCAGCCCTGACTGGCGCAACGGGAGGGGGCGGGTACAGCTGGCTCTGCCTCTAGATAGGCAGAGCCAGCTGTCACTCACGCAGCTGGGCGGATCCCGGCACAATTGTCGGGATCCGCTTCAGCTGCGGTGTCTCAGTATACAGCTCGCGATTATACTGAGCCTAGGGTGACGGGAGGACGCTAGTTTGTGTCCTCCCGTTACCCTAAGGAGAACTATGGGGAAAAGCCCTGACCCCATAGTTCTCTCATTCTGCCGTTGCGTATTTTGTACTCTATAATGGGGTAGGCAAACTCCAGCCCTCCAACTGTGGTGAAACTACAAATCCTGTCATGCCTGTGGCTATCGCAGTCTTGCAATGCATCATGGGATTTTGTTTTAGTAACTGGAGGTCTGAAGTTTGCTTACGCCCGCTGTATAGGTTAGGAAGAACCTAAAAGCAATGGGCATGAAGGCCAGTCAGTGCACAGAAGGTTGCTGCCTGAGGGATCTTTCTGGTCCTCCGACTCTGTTCCTTTGCACGGACCTAGTGTTTTGTAGCAAAGCCCCTCATCCAGTATTCACCATTGTGCAGCCCTGCCTGGGGTGTGAAAAGCATTTGCAGCAGAAGCATCTTACTGCGAATGCACCCCAATCACTGCTGGTGACCATAAAACTTCAGGCACTTCCTGTTTTGCGGTGACGTGCTCCGTTCCCGTCTCCTATTTGTGCTGTTGCATTTTCACACGATCACACAGGCTTCTGATGCAGACTACCAGCAGCCATTTAAATGCACATTACATAGATATGGCCCACTGTTGTCACCATCAGGAAACCCGCCCTGAGAAATGCCACGCAGCCGTCGCTGGAGTGTATGTAGCCAGGAAGTGGCTTCAGGAGATCAGCAGCACTGAGATGTCACGACGGATGAAAGAAGGAGAAAACGAGAAGGGAAGAATGGCTCTCTCCAAAGATATATATATATATCTCACCCCACTGTAGGCTGCAAGATGTCAGTGACCCCAGCTTCCTCTTGTGACCTGCAGCCTTGCACTTGTGTGCTGGGAGTGACAACACAATTGTGGTTTCGACATACTGCACGCTGTCACTTCCCAGCATTATTGGTTAGACTTGAGGCCTGCAGTTTCTAAATCGCACTAGACCCGGCCCTTCTCTGGGTGGAGGTCGTGCTACCGGCCTGGATGTCAAATCATACTTGTATATCTCGGGCACCCATGTGAGTGTACAGATCCACCATTTACCATATTTACATACAAAGTACTTTTTATAAGTCCTCGTCGTGCGACATCTTTCGCTGAAGTCTGTGGTTTTAGCAGTTTGCCTTGAATTCGGCTTGACAATACTAATCAAATCTCTTTAAACAAATAAAAAAGAAATAAAGTTACTTATAGTTATGTGCTTCTCCCTTTGTTTCCCCTCGGTCTAAATGGTCTGCCCACACCTGGGTCACAAACCTGCACTGCCATTTAAATTTTTTTTTATTTTTCATAAAACCTAATCCGTGACTGGTTTCTTTTTCCTCCTCCTCAATGCCAGCCCACTGTTGTTGCCTGCGCCAGAGCTGACAAATGCACTGTTTAACTCCTGGCGCGGTTTTGTTTTTGTTGTATCTTGTTGGTGAAAGATGTCCCGGATCATGAATGAACAGGAAGTGATGTATAGCACTTCCTGTTCATTCCTAACTGGGGAGATGGTAAGCGTACTGTGTCCTAAGTTATTTACAAACGCGGAGTGTTTAGTACTGATTTCAGATTGAATAGCTTGTCAGATGCTGATAACTATTCATATACAGGGGACCATTAGGGGGACCCTTCTGTTATCAGTTCATGGTCGCTGAAGTGACCATGAGCTGATAGCAGAAGGGTGAAAGCCAGCGACGTAAGGCATACTGATGTGACCAGCTGGAAATGGTTGTGTTCTGATGTATGCCTTGTGTCATTGGCAGGGAAAGGGTTAAAGGTTAAGTGCACTTTAAAACAAAGTGCACCTTTTATCCTCCCCCCCCCTCTTCACTTGAGCTAACCGATCCCTCGCTGTCCATAGATCCATACAGATCTGACAGCCACGTCTTCCATCCAGTGCTGCACACCACCATGCAAGTGCATTACTGCCCCATAGACTTCAATGCGGTTTGTCTACCTCTGTCTACGGCCCGGGAGAACCCTCTAGAACTCGGTAAGGTTCTCAACCCTAACTTGGTGAGAGTTTGATTTAACCCCTTCATGACTGAGGCCCTTTTTTCAATTTTTGCACCCATGTTATATTCCACATTTTAGGCATGTACACAATTGGCATGACTTTTATTCATAGGATATGTTTTCTTTGTTTTTTCTATCTTTCTCCTCATCCCAGTACTGAACTCCGGCATTCTTTCAGCCACTTCCTGTCTGCATGCAGTTGCTTCAAGCTTCATCTGCACATCATTGCTGTGGACCAGCTTCCTGATAGTGACCACGGTGCACCATGCCTAAGCAATGGTGTCAGCACGGCCGCTTGTATTCTCCACCAGGCACATGACAGGGTGACAATGCAGGAGGACAGTTGTCACCCCATAACAGGAAGTGCCTGAACGAGGAACATCATATAGGGATCATCAGGGATTATTTTCATGGGAAAAAAACGCAGATTAAAAGATTAAAAATGACTTTTGAAAGCATTTTAAATCTCGTATGAGGTTTTAGTGATCGAGTTTAGGTCTGCTTCAAGGATTTCAAACAAAGAGACTGTCTGAGGAATAATTGATGGAAGTCTGGGAGGGGGAGGTGAGCGTTATTGGCGTCTCAGCCAATTTAGTACCCTCTTTTTTTCTTTTCATGGGATAAACCTGCCGCTGGAAAGTCGCGTCATTACCCAGACTTTGCCAGATCCTCCTGTTTTGTTTTTTTTGAAGTCGTCCTGTAAAGTCTTGTCATGGCATCTCAGCCCCATCCTTCGTGTCACAGGCGCGGTTGACTTTAATGAGCCCTTCGCATCCATTAATCTCTCTCCCAAAGCATCGCTTTGTCTGCTAGACTGGCGCTGCACTTAAAGGTGGCGGCCCGAGCCCACTGCAAACAAAAGCAGCATTTTACACTTTGCATGGTGTCATCGCACTTCATTAAACGTGTTGGTATTCTTTGTTTGCACAATTTGAGAATTGCACCTTATTTATCTTTAGAGGAGAATTAGGAGGCGAGTGATTTTCACTCAGTCTCATAATCTGAGCCGACCCGTGACAATGAGACTGTCACAGGTCGGCTCAGTAGATCGGGAAGTGAGGGAACACATACCGCCGCTCGCTCACTTCTCGATCATCTCCCTGCAGAGAGCCGGGATCCAGACAGTATTGTCGGGATCCATCCCGGCTGCGACTATAGCTTGCGGTATACTGAGTTTTGCGTGACGGGAGAACACTGGTTTGTGTTCCCCGTGACCCTTAGGAGAACTATGGGGAAAAGCTCTAACCCCATAGTTCTCCTTTAAATGGAAGTCCAGGATCTCCACCCGAAATGGGAACAAGATGGGAGGAGGACTCTAGCGTGAGGAGCAATACACTAAAATTAAAGTGGAAGTGTGTTACTGGCAGGAAACGTTCTGATCTTATATGTATTTCAATTTTTTTCTTTTAATTTGCTTTTTTAGACACTTGTTACTATGATCACCTTCCTATTTATATCATGTTATAAGATTGTTAAAGTTTAGCTATCAGGATGAGCCATACTTCGTGGGACGGCTGGAGGCCACTACCATGAGTGCGGCTCATGCATGAGGTTGTGTTCTTTATAAAGGCTGCACAGTGCCGGGCTGGACTACGCAGTGGGGAGAAAGGTGAGTATTTTACCACACAAGCTGTCCCTGGGGCTTTCACTTCAAGCGAACCTGGGAACAGATCATGCGCGCTAAAGTATGTATATATTCTGAACAGGCTTTAAAACAATCCCTCATTCATCTGTGTATCTATATCTGTTTGTACTGGATTTTACCTGGGCAGGGATCCAGCGGGCCCCTCCCACTACAGGCTACCTGCAAAAAACTACAGGAAGGGATAGAGACGAGACCAGTCACCCTGCACACAAGGAGAGAGAGCAGCAGTGACCGGTCTTTATTACAGGAGGAGGCGGAGACTAGGCCAGGTACCCCACGTAAGGAGAGAGAGCAGCCGTGAGCGGTCTTTATTACAGGAGGGGGCGGAGACAAGACCGGTCACCCTGCACAAGGAAAGCTTGGAGCTTGGGTCACTTGCATCTCTCCTTGTTGGACTACATGCCCCATCATTTCCTTTTTAGCAGCATGTCGGTTCTGCAAGAACCTGCACACAGGAATTTCACATCTGTTCTTTTTTTTTTTTTTCTCCCTGCAGGAAATCTCTCCAGCTTGAACCGATTGGGGCTGCGCTACAACAGGCTGTCGGCCATCCCACGATCCTTAGCGAAATGCAGCGAACTTGACGAGTTGAACTTGGAGAATAACAATATTTCCACTTTGCCAGAGGTAAGATAATGTTCTCACGACTCGCAATTACCCGTCTATGTTCTGATCACTGAAAAAAAGATAAAGCAAGCCCGTTCTTTACCGTACCAACAGGGATCACTTTAACGCGCCGCTCCTCTCTCCTGACACTGTTGGGCTCCGAGTGCCTGACTTTTCATAGGAGGGATTGGAGTGACTGACAGTCATTTTGGTGTCACCCCTCCAATGGTGGCACCTGGGTGCGGGCTGCACCCCCATTGTGACGCCACTGAAGCCCTGTGAACCCGAGGCCCTTACAGTGCCCTCCCACTGCTCCTCCTTCTGGCGTGCCCACCTAGCTAGACCTATGACAGCGCACAGCCAATCGCTAGGCCTGAATGCTGTCACGTGATGAAGGGGGCGACGTCTGCTCCCTATAAGCTCTGATATTTAGCGATGGCTTTAAAGAAGATGGGAGTGGTGGTGGCGGGCATACCTGGGTTCGGAAAGGGGCCGGGGGAGCTTTAAAGAGGCCCTGTAATATCACCTGGAATGGGTAAGTTGACAGGCTCTCTTCAATCAATTCCGACCCTTTATACTTACAGAACGAGCTGCACTTTTCCTGCTATGCTCCAACAGCGACCAGGTTCACAAAGGTTCCCGAAAACTCAGAACTCCCCCCCCAGGCGCTCCGTTATCATTAATCTGTATGCTTTCATCAACTTTCCCAGTAGACAATTATCATTTTTCAGGTTTTTATCAGTATTGCGACGCCAATAAAGGAGAGCGCTTTGATCGGCTTAATGGACGCATCCTTAATGGACTTCCTTAATGGAAATCAGTGATTTCAGCAGCTCGTAACAGCATCCTGCTTTTTCTTTTTTTCCGTAAGACGGAGTTCACCTTTAAATCCCCTCCCGGGCCGCGAGCCGCCCCCCTCCTCTCCCAGAGACATCATCGCACGGTTACTGTCAACACAGCAAGCTGAATTCTCTGCAGATTGCTTCATAAATTAGTCATGATTGTAGCAATTGGCAATAATTTCTCCGCTCTGTGTAAACACGCCCTGTATGTTTTTGGTGTGAAAGGTTTCAACATGCTTTCACGCTTTGTTTTTAACCCCGGCTTATCTGGAAAGTTGTAGCAGGAGCACAGAAAGCCTTGGGGGCAGGTTCATTTATCAGCCTTATCATGCGAACAGTGAAGGACCACCTCCCCCCAACCCTTAAAGTAGAGGTAACCCCTAAGGAGATGACATTTGGTTGACTAAAATACTGTTTTTCTCATTCAAATGCGGCGAAATGCAGTCACCATACCACCTAGACCCAATGTGTGCAGACTGTATGGCCGCTTGCTGGCTTGGCAGAATCCACAGGCAGGTTAACTCTTAAATAGACATAGAGGTTGAATCCAACTTCATTTTCACATAAGTTGCAGTACAGATGTTTATAGTGACAAAGGCAATGGCTTTCCCATGAGCCTTGTGCCTGCGGTGGATGGTGAAACGATCTGTACAGCATAAGAAAGCAGGGGATGTCTAGCTGGAGACTGCACTAACTAGAGACAAAACAGGAGATGGCGGGGGGGAGAGGGGGGACAGAGAAACATGCCATAGGCACAAATAGTAATCGGTTGCTGCTGTTTTTCATTTAACAGTTGCCTTGTTGTTTTTCCTAAAATGTGGTCTAACTGCAGATCTGCATAGGGCAGCGGTCTCAAAGTACTGGCCCGCAGGCCACTTGCGGCCCGTGAGCCGGTACTATGCGGCCCGCAGCCAGGAGACAAGTCGGCTACGCGGTCACGGACGGCATACCTGACTTGCGGGAGCAGCTGCATGATCTGCATCTCTATCGGATGCACACCGCAGAGCTGCTCCTCCCGGCACTGAGATCTTTTCGGCTGGAGCTCAGTTCTGAGCTCTGGCCGAAAGAAAGGGTGGATTAGTGAGGTCTGCAGCAGGCCTCACTAATCGCCACTAGAGCACCAGTGATCGATCTGCCTCCTCACAGCCTGCCTCCTCACAGGGGTAGCTTTTTTTGATGTGTATGGGGATTGTCTTACTTTATATGTGCATGAGCAGGGTTTTTTCTTTTTGTGTACGGGGGGGAGTGTATTTTTTATGTGTGGGGTGGGGGAGAGGAGTGTATTTTTTATGTGCAGGGGTAGTTTTCTTATGTGTATGGGGGGAGTGTATTAGGCTACATTCACACCTGTATCTTTAGGTGCAATTAGGAATTCCTGCATCAGGAATACCTTATCTGGTGTTTACAAGTGACCGCTATCACCTATTCAAGTTAATGATCAGATGACATCAGCTGCGTGTAACCGCCTGCACACCGCATGTAATGATACGTGATATGATTACATTCGGTTAGGAATCAGTCACTCTCCCTGGACGCATCAATTGTGCAACCAGGGAGAGTGTTTTCTAACTACATGTAATAATATCGCATACAATTACATGCAGCGGCTATCACCTGATCATTACCTTGATTAGGTGACAGCTGCCACTTGTGAACACCAGATTAGGCATTCCTGCTGCAGAAAAACGCAAGTTCCTGACGCAGGAATCCCTAATTGCAACTAAACTTACAGATATGCATAGGGCCTTATTGTGTGTTACATAGTTACATAGTATTTGAGGTTGAATAAAGACATTAGTCCATCAAGTCCAACCTATTAGGATCTCATGTGTGTATTGGTGTCCGTAGTACCATGCCGCATATAATTGCATTTTATTTTGATGTACGAAATTTTTCAAGCCGGCCCCCATGGGAGAAATAAAAATTGTCGAGTGCCCCCCCCGAGTCAAATGAGTTTGAGACCCCTGATATAGGGGAATCTGGACCTCCTTCCTCCTGCTGGTGACCCCTCTAATGATAATAAAGATCTATATAGAGGAATCAGGACCTCTTTCCTTCTGCTGGGGACCCCTCTAATGATAATTGAAGATCTATATAGAGGAATCAGAACTTCCTTCCTCCTGCTGGAGATCCCTCTAATGATGAAGATCTATATAGAGGAATCAGGACCTCCTTCTTCCCACTGGGGACCCCTCTAGTGATAATAAAGATCTATATAGAGGGATCAGGACCTCCTTCTTCCCCCTGGGGACCCCTCTAGTGATAATAAAGATCTAGATAGAGGGATCAGGACCTCCTTCTTCCCCCTGGGGACCCCTCTAGTGATAATAAAGATCTATATAGTGGGATCAGGACCTCCTTCCTCCTGCTGGGGATCCCTCTAATAATGCCCCCCAGAATTATGTTCTCTTTCCCCACTGCCAGGTCACACTGTTTGTTTTGCAATCAGATAATAATAGAGAGTGTATTGTGACGCTTGTCTGTGTTCCCTCCACAGGGTCTGCTGTCCAGCTTGGGGAAAGTGACAAGTTTGACCCTTGCCAGGAACTGTTTCCAGTCCTACCCAGTGGGCGGACCCTCCCAGTTTTCCACTATCTACTCCCTCAACATGGAGCATAATCGTATTAATAAAATTCCATTTGGAATTTTCTCCAGAGCTAAAGTATTAAGCAAGCTGAATATGAAGGTGAGTGCTGATTGGTTCATGTGTCGTTATCACTGAGAGAGGAGTTGTCCCGTGCATCCTGTAAACACTTCAAATACATTTTCTTTGTAATGTGTCTCCAGCAGAACATCATTTTTGGAGTTCTGTATCTTTTGGGTTTGGTCACATCAACCTTTCCTCTTTCTCTGCAACTAAAGAATAATGCTGGGTTCACACCTAGGCGTATTGAATATGCGAGTTTGTCGCGCGTTTCGTGCCGCGTTTTTACCGCGATTCGCTAGGGAAAAAAACACGCGACAAACGCGCGTTTCTGAGGGCTACCTGGCTGTGTCCCGATGGAAACGCGCGGCAAATACGCCCCAAAGAAGCTCCTGTACTTCTTTGGGCGTAGGGCGTTTTGTAGCGCGTTCATACAGCCTGTAATACGCCCAGGTGTGAACCGTGCCCGTAGGAAATAATGGGATTTCGGTGTTTGAGCGTTCTGCAGAGCGTAGGAACGCGCTACAAAACGCCCAGGTGTGAACCGGGCCTAAAAGGTTTTGGCTAGTTATGTACTTTGAGACTTGTGGTATTTGCTTATTTTTTTTTTGCAAATGATTTTTTTATTTCTAGCTTTGTTATAGCAACTTAGTCTAGTTAAAGTTGAACTCCATGCGTGAAAACGTTCATTGAAATATTTTCCACAATAGCCACAAATGATATGATATAAATCCACCAAAATGTCTTTGCAATCCCAAATGTTACCTTTTGTCTAATAGCAGTAACATCATCACTGTGCTGCACATCCTCCAAAGCCACGGAGAATACAACTTTTCTTTGTGTATGGCAAATGCCTTTGCAAAACCAAAGTATTGCCATAATAAAAAAAAAAATAGTTACATCATCAGCATGTGTAGAGAGCACAGCTGTGGGAGGGCCCAGTAGGCCCCACCCACTAAAGGCTGCCTGCAATAAAGAACAGGAGGGGGCGGAGACAAGACCAGTCACCCTGCACAAGGAGAGAGAGCAGCAGTGACCGGTCTTTATTACAGGAGGGGGCGGAGACAAGACCAGTCACCCTGCACAAGGAGAGAGAGCAGCAGTGAGCGGTCTTTATTACAGGAGGGGGGTGGAGACAAGATCAGTCACCCTGCACAAGGAGAGAGAGCAGCAGTGAGCGGTCTTTATTACAGTAGGGGGCGGAGACCAGACCAATCACCCTGCACAAGGAGAGAGAGCAGCAGTGAGCGGTCTTTATTACAGGAGGGGGGTGGAGACAAGACCAGTCACCCTGCACAAGGAGAGAGAGCAGCAGTGACCGGTCTTTATTACAGGAGGGGGCGGAGACCAGACCAATCACCCTGCACAAGGAGAGAGAGCAGCAGTGAGCGGTCTTTATTACAGGAGGGGGGTGGAGACAAGATCAGTCACCCTGCACAAGGAGAGAGAGCAGCAGTGAGCGGTCTTTATTACAGTAGGGGGCGGAGACCAGACCAATCACCCTGCACAAGGAGAGAGAGCAGCAGTGAGCGGTCTTTATTACAGGAGGGGGGTGGAGACAAGACCAGTCACCCTGCACAAGGAGAGAGAGCAGCAGTGAGCGGTCTTTATAACAGGAAGCTCCAAGTTTCACACTGGATTACTGCACAGATCTGAACAAAATACACAAAAAATACAATACACATGACTCTTGTACTTGGATATATTACAATATTTTCTTGTTCTGGAGTTCAGCTTTTGGCTTCTATCACGTCCTCTTTACTCACTCCCCTCGACTGCACTCCTTTCTAACTTACACAGGACTGGGAAAGGTGGAGAGCGGAAGCAAATATTTCTAAGGATACATTCACACAGGACATTCTGGGATTCCTGCAGGAAGAACCTATGAATTCCCGCATCAGGAATCTCAAGTGTCACCGTTTTCAGATGCGGCCGTTGTACATAGTGAATTAAATGACAGGGTGACAGCGGCCGCATCCGAGCGGGGACAACTAGTATTTCTTCTGCAGGAATCCATAGGTTCTTGCTGCACAGATCCCAGAATGCCCGGTGTGAATGGGGCCTGAGGGTCCTTACAGTAGACTGACCCTGTTCAATGTAACTACATGCATCATCCCCTACATTGCGGTCTTCCATTGGTTTGTTTCTCTCCCCCATAAATCTTGACGTTCCCCTCTAATCCTTTTGTATTTTATATACCGTATTTTGCGGCCCATAAGTCCGGTGCGGACCATAGGACGCAGGGAGGTCCGGCGCGCCTTATGGAGCACTCGACAGACTGTAGCTGCAGTTAGTGACCGCTGAGACAGGTGGCGCTGTGATTACAGCGCCACGGTCTCAGTGATCACACCGAGCAAACGAAGAACGTCCGTTCTTCGTCTACTCTATGGTAATCTCGATCGTTTTAATACGAGTGATCTCATTAGGGATAGAAAGTACCGTATTTTGCGGTCCATAAGACGCACCGGACCATAGGACGCAGGGAGGTCCTGCGTGCCTTATGGAGCACTCGAGACTGTAGCTTCTGTCACAGCTTCTATGACAGAAGCTGTGACAGAAGCTGCAGTTAGTGACCGCTGAGACAGGTGGCTCTGTGATTACAGCGCCACGGTCTCAGTGATGACACAGAACAGGCGAAGAGCGTCTATTCTTCGTCTGCTCTATGGTAATCTCGATCGTCGCCGCTGCTCAGTTTTAATACGAGTGATCTCATTAGCTCACTCGTATTAAACGAGCAGTGGCTCCTACTACTCGCCCGGCGCCCGAAACTGCATGTCTCGGGCCTCTGGATTCGCTCCATAAGACGCAGGCACATTTTCCCCCTCCTTTTGGGGGGAAAAAAGTGCGTCTTATGGAGCGAAAAATACGGTATATATATATTTTTTAATGTAATATTTGTTTCACACAACTGTTGATGACCTGACATGCATTCCCTTTCACAACAGGACAATCAGCTAACTTCTCTACCCTTGGATTTCGGCACATGGACGAGTATGGTGGAGCTGAACCTGGCCACCAACCAGCTGACGAAAATCCCAGAAGACGTGTCTGGCTTGGTGTCTATCGAGGTATTTCTTTCACGAGCATGGAGCGTGTTTAACCTCTGACTGGTGTCTGAAGATTTCCTGTTTCCTAAACTTTTTGTGTTTTTTTTTTTTTTTAACAGGTTTTAATTTTATCAAACAATCTCTTAAAGAAGCTGCCGCACGGTATTGGGAATCTGCGCAAGCTGAGGGAGTTGGATCTGGAGGAGAACAAGCTTGAGTCTTTGCCAAACGAGATTGCTTACCTAAAAGACCTGCAGGTAACGATCCAGCAAATGGAAGGCAACCGGAGGATTTTATGCGCAGTAGTAGTTCCGCTATAATGGACTTTGTAGTTCCTCAGCGATGTTGCAGATTGTCCGGCCCCATAGCGCACAACTCCTTCATAACCAGAGCTCATTGAAACCTACCGTGTTTCCCCAAAAATAAGACACTGTCTTATTATGATTTTTTGCCCCCAAAAAAACACACTAGGTCTTATTTTCAGGGGATGTCTTATTTTTATTTTTTTGTTTTATTAAGTCTTTATTAGAGTTTTCTATAACATGTTATAACTTACACATATGATACGTAACATAAGTTTGAAGCTAATAACATTAGCCGAGTTTGTGGGAGGAGTCGGAGCCTCCAGGGCCCTTAGACACGGAGGGGAAAGGTGGACGCATCTGCTGCTGACCTCCGGCGTACCCTCCCACCCATCCCCATTATTATTACTAGTATTATTTTCAAAGCTTACTAGAGTACGCCCCCTTATTTGGCGTACTGACCATAAAAATCATGGCACACCTCAGGTTGTGTGGGGTAGGGAGGTCAACATGGCCTTGGTTTATATCACGTACAAAGGGGGGCAACATGCGGGGCCCGCGAGATTCCGAACACAAACATACAATTACTATAATTCCCCTCAGTATGTGCATACACAATATTCCCCCTACCGTCCATGTGACCTCACCCAAGGCCCGTTACAATATTTTACATCTCCATCATTAATTACTAATCGGGTGTCTTGTTCGTCCCCATATTCCACCTTTCACACTTTGGGGTAGCTAATGGGGGAAAGCGAGAGCGGGGGGTGGGGGGGGGGGGGGGTGCTCCCTTCCATAGTGTAGACAGACATTCCTCGGTTACCAACTTACCTGCTTTGCGACCACTCTTACTTACAACCGAGCGACCTCGCGTGTCAGCGTCAGTGCGACGTGTCGCCCGCGGAAGTGACGTCCTCCGATCTTCACTGCGGGTCCCGGTAAGTATTGTCATTGCCCGATGTACAGTACACTGTTCGCTACTGTACATCTGCAACGCTATACAGTACTGTGCTAATGCAGAACAGTACTGTACAGAGTTCCTCACTTAACGACCAATTCGTTTCCCGACCTGGTCGTAGGAACGGAACTCGGTCATTAAGTGAGGAATACCTGTATTGTGATTGTGCAACAATATGTACAACAATCCAAAGTTATCTGGTATCACTCCGCCTGTCACAGTAACCGACGCTATAGAGGAAGTATCTGCTAAGGCGGCTCTGCTCGATCCGCAGCCTTGCTTTCTACAGCGCCGGCTTCCTTTGCCATCAGGGGCAGCGGTGCAGCAGTGGGGACATCAGACAGTGGACAGCGTGGTAAGGTACGGTACCATTTACCAGTACACGTTACAGTACAGTACCATTACATTAAGCAGTGTCTGCAGGGGGACAGCAGTTGGTGAAGTCTGGTACTAGAGTGCTCCCTGTCACTGCGCTGGCCAGGGGGAGTCCCCCGTCATCCCCTTAATACAGTATGTCCCTGCAAGTTTCCCCTCACATGCTAACACCAAACTAGGTCTTATTTTTGGGGTAGGTCTTATATTACAGGACTCTTGAAAAATAGTGCTAGGTCTTTATTTTCGTGGAAACAGGGTGTATGTCCATGCTCACATGAAATGCATACAATGAAACCTGGTGTACCTGCCAAAGGATTTGTATTTCTGGCCATCCAGTCCTGAGTTTTACACAGATCTGCCACCACACAGCACAAACCTTTCTAGCAAGACAGGAGACGTTATTTTTTTTTTCTTGTCTGCTGCAGTTCGGTAACCCTTACAGGTCTGGTCACTCCCCCCAACCTGTGACTGGATAGCTAAATAATCGGCATAGTGATGAGCTCATCTCTCTAAAAGTGCCCATACACTGCACGATTATCGTACCAGAAACGCAGGAAATCCTGCGATCGTACGATAATCGCAAAGTGTATGGAAGGCGTGCGACCGTTTCTACTGTACGGTCGCACGTTTTCCGTTGAACAAGCAGGCTGGAAAACCCGCCAGGAATCGTACGATTCTCGGCGGGTTAGTTGCCTGCTTGTTCGACAACTGCCAAACGGGCCGGTGTGTGCACGCGCACACTGCCCGTTTGCAGTCATCGGAAGCCCGCCCCTCAAGTACGATCTGCCTGTCCAAGATAGGCAGATCGTACGTTTTGTAATTACTTTACAACCCTCGCAAGACAAAAGTCTTGCAAGGGTTGTAAAGTGTATGGCCACCTTAACTCCCTCTCTCCTCCTATCATCATGCCCCTTGTTAGCACATGCATGCGCACTGCAGTAAAAAGAACTGTTCTTTTGGGTAGACTATACTCCTCACAAAGTCTTCCAGAATGACACCGGCTTATAACTGCTCTAATCTCCGAGCAGATTCCTAATGAGCTCCTGGGAGGTTCTCGCTGATTATATTGATTGCCGGAGTGTTGTGTGCACATAACTGAGCAGATCTTCATATTATCTACTTCTAAAATGGCAAATAACATTTCCTCTTAGCTCTGATAATCCAATTAAGAGGAGATTTCCTGTACAGGAGAATAATGAAGGCAGAGGGGGGCTCGTCTTAATGTGTTGATTTGTGAACGTCGTATTTATACAGAAATTCTCTGAAGATGAGCGATCGTAATCACCCGGCTTCTTTCCTCTCTCTGACTGCTTCTCTCACTTCATTTATTTCTCTTTGTGTTATCTCTTTCTCTTTTGTTTATAGTTATCAGGGTTTCTGTTATTGTGTTACTTTATTCTTTTCTCCTCTGCTGTATCTCTGTATCTCACCCAATCATTTCTTTCCCCACTTCTTTGTTTTTAACTTTTTTCTTTTCCTTCATTCTTTTATAAATGTTTCTGATTTTCTCCCTCCCTCCCTCCCTTTCTCCCTCCCTTTCTCCCTCCCT